TGCCTGCCAATGCAGGGGACACAGGTTCGATCCCTGGTCTGGGAAGATCCCACATCCCGCAGAGCAACTGAGCCCGTGCACCACAACTACTGAAGCCCGCGCACCTAGAGCCCATGCTCCGCAACAAGAGAAGCCACTGCAATGAGAAGCCTGCATACCACAACAAAGAGTAGCCTCCGCTTGCCGTGCGCAGCAATGAAGACCCAACACAGCCCCCCCCACCAAAAAGTTGTATTTCTGTATACTAGCAACAATCATCAATTGAAATGTAAAAAACAGCATTTACAATAGCATCAATAAACATGAAATTATTTAGAGATAAATCTCACAGAAGATGTGGAAGACCTGCACAGTGAAAACTATAAAACATGTCTGAGAAAAAATTGTAAAAGATGTAACTAACTGAATCAAGAGATATACTGTGTTCATAGATCAAAAGACTCAACATTATTAAGATGTGAATTCTCCTCAAATCCATCTACAGTTTTCAACACAATCCCAATGAATATCACAGCAGGCATTTTTACAGAAATTGACAATCTGATTCTAAAATTTGTATGTGAATACAAAGGACTTAGAATAGCCAAAACAAGTTTGAACCCTTTTATCATCCTGGTTTCCCAAAACTCCTGTTTGGCGAAAATTGTAACATATTTTATTTTGGGAGATAAAATCAGAAAATAATAACTAACTATCACTTGCTAGGTCAACTATGAAATAGTAAATGTGGTTAATATCATGGGTTCTGTTTGCCTGACAAGTGGAATGATTTACTGTTTTAGAAGGCAAATAGGCGGACTTCCCTGCTGGTCCAGTGGTTAAGACTCTGCGCATCCAATGCAGGGGGTGTGGGTTCGATCCCTGGTTGGGAACTAAGATCCTACATGCCCCATGGCATGACCAAGAAAAAAATAAAAAAAGGTTGTGGCATGGTGACTATAGTTAAAAACAAACAAGCGTAATATTGGCATCAAGAGAGACAGATAAATTGATGGAACAGAATGGAGGGTCCAAAAATAGACCCACATATGTATATGGTCAATTGATTTTTGACAAAGGTACAAAAGCATTTCAGTGGAGAAAGGGTAAGTTTTTTCTTTTATTTTATAAATTAATTTTATTTATTTATTTTTGGCTGCGCTGGGTCTTTGTTGCTGCGAGAGGGCTTTCTCTAGTTGTGGTGAGCGGGGGCTACTCTTTGTTGTGGTGCGCAGGCTGGTCATTGCAGTGGCTTCTCGCAGCGCGCTGGCTCTAGGCATGTGGGCTTCAGTAGTTGTGGCTCACGGCCTCTAGAATGCGGGCTCAGTAGTTGTGGCACTTGGGCTTAGTTGCTCCGTGGCATGTGGGATCTTCCTGGTCCAGGGCTCGAACCCATGTCCCCTGCATTGGCAGGCGGATTCTTAACCACTAAGCCACCAGCGAAGCCCGGATAAGTTTTTTCAATAAATGGCCCTGGAAAAATTGTTTTCCCATATACAAAAAAAAAAAGAGAGAACTTGCACCATATACAAAAATTAACTGAAAATGGATGAAAGACCTAAATGCAAAACCTAAAACTATAAAACTTGTGGAAGAAAATGTAGGATAAATTCTCTTTGGGTTCTTTGTGCCAGTACAAACCCAAAAGCACATTTCCATAAAAGAAAAAAATTGATAAAATGGACTTTATAAAAATGAAGAACTTCTCTTCAGAAGACACTGTTAGGGCTTCCCTGGTGGTGCAGTGGTTGGGAGTCTGCCTGCCGATGCAGGGGACACGGGTTCGTGCCCTGGTCCAGGAGGATCCCACATGCCGCAGAGCGGCTGGGCCCGTGAGCCATGGCCACTGGGCCTGTGTGTCCAGAGCCTGTGCGCCACAGCAGGAGAGGCCACAGCAGTGAGAGGCCCGCGTACCGCAAAAAAAAAAAAAAAAAAAATTAAAAGACAAGCCAAAGAGTGGGAGAAAAATCTTTCCTATTCATACATCTGTTATACGTCTTGTACCTAGAATATACAAAGTACTCTCAAAACTTAATAATGGGAAAATAAACAACCAAGTAATAAAATGGGCAAAAGATTTAAACAGATACTTTCACCAAAGAATATTTACAGATAGAAAAGAAACGTATGAAAAGATGTTCAATATCATTAGGTATTAGGGAAATGTTAAGACCATAATATGATGTCACTACACACATTTAGAAAGTCTAAAATTAAGAAGACGATACCAAGTGTTGATCAAGATGTAGAGAAAGTATAGCTCTTGTACACTATTGGTGGGAGGATAAAATGGTACAACCACTTGGAAAACAGCTTGGCAGTTTCTTAAAAAGTTAAACATACATTTACCATAAGGCCTAGCCATTATACTTTATTTATTTACCCAGGAGAAATAAAAAAGCATATGTCCACACAAAGACTTGTACGTGAATATTCATACCAGCTTTATTTGTTTTTTTTAAAAAGGAGACTATTTTTTAAATTATTTTTTAAATTTTATTTACTTATTTATTTTTGGCTGCCCTGGGTCTTCGTTGCTGTGCGTGGGCTTTCTTTAGTTGCCATGAGCGGTGGCTATTCTTCTCTGCGGTGTGTGGGCTTCTCATTGTGGTGGCTTCTCTTGTTGCAGCTCACGGGCTCTAGAGTGCAGGCTCAGTAGTTGCGGCACACGGGCTTAATTGCTCCATGGCATGTGGGATCTTCCCAGACCAGGGCTTGAACCTATGTCCCCTGAATTGGCAGGCAGATTCTCAACCACTGCACCACCAGGGAAGCCCAATACCAGCTATATTTGTAATAGTTAGTGGAAACAACCTAAATGTCCATCCACAGGTGAATGATTAACAGTAGTTAACTCTGGTATATTCATACAACGGAATAAAATTCAGTAATAAAAAGAAATGAACTATTGATATATGCAACAACATGGATGAATCTCAGAATAATTATGCATGGTGAAAGAAGCCAAACAATAGAGTATATACTTGTATGATTCCATTTATAGAAAATTTAAACTAATCTACAGTGACAGAAAGCATATCTGCCTAGGGATGGAGGTGGGAAAGGCTAGAAGAAAAGGGAGGTTAAAGGGGGTCTGAGAAAACTTTTGGGTGTAATGTGTATATTCATATCTTTTTTTTTTTGGCCACGCTGCATGGCTTGAGGGATCTTAGTTCCCCAACCAGGGATTAAAGCCAGCCTACAGTAGTGCAAGCACCAAGTTCTAACCACTGGACCGCCAGGGAATCCCTACATACATATATATATATTTTTTAAATATTTCATTTATTTATTTAATTTTTATGGCTGCATCTAGTCTCAGTTGTGGCGCACGGGATCTTCTTGCGGTGCGTGGGCTTCTCTCTAGTTGTGGCGTGCAGGTTTTCTCTTCTCTAGCTGTGGCGCTTGGGCTCCAGAACATGTGGGCTCTGTAGTTTGCAGCACGTGGGCTCTAGTTGAGGCACGCGAGCTCAGTAACTGTGGCACGCAGGATTAGTTGCCCCACAGCATGTGAGATCTTAGTTCCCAACCAGGGATCGAACCTGCATCCCCTGCATTGGAAGGCAGATTCTTTACCACTGGACCACCAGGGAAGTCCATATATATATATTTATATCATGATTGTGGTGATGGTGTCATGGGTATATACATATGTCAGAACTTATCAAATAGTGCACTTTCAAAAAGTATAACTTATTGTATGTCTATTATACCTTAAAATTTTTTTAAATAAATGTTTGAAGCCAATAGATAAAATTCTAAAAATTATTCAATTAATACAGAAGTAGGCAGAAAAAGAATAATAGAGGAGCAAAAAAAGAGGGGCAAACAATAAACAAATAGTAAAATGGTAGGCTTAAGTCCATTCATATACATAGTTACCTTAAATGTTAATGGGCTAAACACTGCAATTAAAAGATATTATCAGAATTGAATTTTTAAAAATGCAAGATCCAATTATATGCTGTGTCCAAGAGACGTGCTTTACATATAAAGGGATAAATAGGTTGAAAATAAATGGCTAGAAAATTATACACCATGCAAACTAAAGAAAGTTGGTGTGGCTATTTTAATAACAGATAAATTCAAGACAGTGAGATAAGAAGAGGGAAATTTCATACTGATGAAAGAGCCAATTCAAGAAGAAGATATTATAGTCATAACATATGCATTTTTAAAAGTTTGAAATTGCATAAAACAAAAATGACAGAATTAAAGGAATAGACAGGGACTTCCCTGGTGGTCCAGTGGTAAAGAATCCGCCTTACAATGCAGGGGACGTGGGTTCGATCCCTGGTCAGGGAAATAAGATCCCACATGCCGCGGGGCAATTAAGTCTGTGCGCCACAACTGCTGGGCTCGCGTGCCTCAACTAGAGCCCACGTGCTGCAAACTACAGAGCCCACGTGCTCTGGAACCCACACGCCACAACTACAGAGCCCATGTGCCCTGGAGCCAGCGTGCCACAACTACAGAAGAGAAAACCCACATACCACAATGAAGAGCCCGTGCTGCCATGAAAAGTTCCCTCATGCCTCAACGAAGATCCCACGTGCCTCAACTAAGACCGGACACAGCCAAAACTAAATAAAATAATAAAGGAGTAGAAAATTCCATATAGTTTAAGACTGATAGAACTAGGCCAAAAAAAATTTTTTTTAGTAAAGACATAGAAGACCTAAATAACACGATCAACCACCTTGGCCCCATTGGTAATTATAGAATAATACATCCAATAACTGCAGAATACAAATTTTTTGCAAGGGTACTTGATACGTTCACTAAGTTATTCTGGGCTGTAAACTTACAGGAATCTTTTAACACCTTGCACCTTGTACCTTCTATACCCTGAATCTTGGGAAAAGCTGAGGGTTATTATAATTTATTACTTGCTTGGATGATGTCATTATTTTTTGAGGGGCAATTAACGTGCTATTTCTCTTTAAAAAAATACACAGCATATTAAAAAATTAAGGCATCAAAATTCTTATTCATTACTAATATATTTTTTTCAGGTGCAAAAAATTACAAAGCTTCATAATCACCCCAAGACCGCATAGAGCAAACATGAATGATATTTCTCAAAAGGCTGAGGTAAGTCTTAAAAGTTAAAAAATGGGGGAATCATAGGGTTGACTGTAGAATTGCTGAAAAGGGCAACTGGTGGAAAGGTCATTCACAGAACTTCATAGTGACATAGTGTCAAGATGTAAAACATAAGAAGAGGTAAAATTCACAGACTGGTCTTGGGCCCAGTATTTTCGTTTGGATTCTTATCTAGGAAGCATGATTATTAAATTTTGTGAGTGATAGTGAAATGGATGTGATGGCTAGCATCTTGAGTAGATTTTAATATCTTGATTAATTTTAGAAGTTATTTTTTCAGTATTAAAAAAACAATTGATGTATATACTTTAAGGAGAAAGAGATAATTCACTCTCAGGTGAGGATCCTTCTTAGCTACTTCTAGCAGCTGCAATTAAACTTATCTTAGGCCTTTTTCTGGTTCTTTGCTGTTGTTACTGAGAGTTGTAATAAGAAGAAATCAGTTGCTGACACCCCAAAATTATAAACTTTAAAAAACCTTAAAATGGCCAATGGTAACATAAGTAGAAAATAAAATAGGAGCTGGGTATGGCACAGATTAATTATGCAATTTGCCATTATCACTAGAAGAAAGGGTTTGGTGTTCTGAGGCAATGAAGTTTTATTTTCTGAAAACTTCTTTTAGAGATCAGTTTAATTTTCAAAAAGATGAAAATAATTTGCTTTCCTGGTTTCAGAGGGAGGAAAATCATTTCTCTAGTCTTTTAACAGATTCCTCCTTCTTTGGAAAGCTCTTTTGTCATTTAGGAATTTTCCTCTTAGGGCACCTCCTACTTGGAATGATGCAGCATTTATACATATTTTCAACTTGGGTTTAAAGAAGTTCTAGATGGGCAGTATAGCAGTAGTAACAACAAAAATCACTGCTTGTGCACAAAGACCTTGGCTCACCTCAGCCACAAATGAGAAGTAAAGACCTTCAGTTTTGCCGATATTAGATATGGAAACAAGCAAGAATTAGGCTTATGTGAATTAGTCTTAAACTTTTTGCCTTGTTTTCAACTTCATCTAATTTATTAAAATTAGTCTTGGTATGTTTTAAGCAAGAGATATAAAATCTGAATCTTTAATGTAATGAAACAGTACAATAAAATACAGGTTGTTTTAAATTGGAATCCAGTTTTCAGTTTTTATATTTTGCTAGTCTTCAGCTTCAGTGGAACACACGTACAAAATGGGACCTCTTTGCTTTATATTAATAACAGTTTTACTCTCATATTTTATGTAATTTCATTTTTCATACTTAGACTTTAGAAAGTATCTAATCAAATTCCGATTATACAAATAAAGGTTTCAAACTCATTTCTATCTATAGTCTGTTTTAATAAATATTTCTTATATTGCTTATTCTGATCTATCTTTACCTAATTTCTTCCTTTCTTATTTTTTTAACTTTCTTCTCTTTATTTTCTTCTAATGAAGCTTCTGCTTTCTTCATCTAAACCTGTACCAAAAACCTATGTGCCAAAACTTGGCAAGGGTGATGTAAAGGATAAGTTTGAAGCCATGCAGAGAGCCAGGGAAGAAAGAAATCAAAGGAGATCTAGAACCGAAAAGCAAAGAAGAAAAGAACAATATATTAGAGAGAGAGAATGGAACAGGAGAAAGCAGGAGGTTATTTTATTTTATTTTATTCTTATGCAAATATTCATTTTCATCTTTTACATTTTATTTGTTATTCACATTAACCACATTTCATATTAACTATAATTAATATTTTCTGTGTTTATAAGCTAATTGCAAACTCTGCATATAATATGATCTAGTCTAAAGTTTGGATATGTTCATATTAATTTATTTAACCATCTAGATTAAAGAAATGCTTGCTTCTGATGATGAGGAAGAGGTATCTTCTAAATTAGAAAAGGCTTATGTCCCAAAGCTAACAGGTAAGACACTTGAGGGGCAAATTGTAAATAAAATTGCAAAAAAGGAAGCATAGCAAAATATCAAACATGTTTCATATATTCTTAGGAACTGTTAAAGGTAAATTTGCTGAAATGGAGAAACAAAGACAAGAGGAACAAAGGAAGAGAACAGAAGAGGAACGTAAACGCAGAATTGAGCAGGATATGTTAGAAAAGAGGAAGATACAACGTGAATTAGCAAAAAGGGCTGAGCAGGTATACATTAGATATTAATTTGGTATTTGCTTCAGAAACTAATTGTACAGACTAAAACTAATCAGTATGCTGCCTAATCAAAATATTTTAATATAACATAAACCTATTAAATAGTAGCTAACATGGAAATAAGATCTTAAGCACAAATATTTAATATCAAATGCCTAGAAGGATAAGGGCAGAATGTGCCTATTTCAAGGTTGAATACTGAGATGACTTTTGTTATACACCATCTTATCATTCTCTCTGCATTCCTTACACTGTCCACATTCCTTATTTTTCTTGACACATTAGAGAATTTTACAAAGATATAAGGCAAGTTCACACATAAACTATCCACAAGCATATAACAAAATGCTGGTCTTTTAATAGCAATCAAAAAATACTTGCTGGTTATTATCAAACACAGGCTTAATTAGGATATCTTCCTACTCAATTATTTGAAACAAGTTCAAGTCACATTTTATTCAATAATGTATTATTAGCTAGCTTAGCTTTGTTTTTTAAGTTGGGGACGGTAGTAGAAGGGAGAAATGTGTGACAGTCATTTCCTTCGTATAGCCATTACTGTTGCCCATAGCCACAGAGGACAAATTAGAGGGAGAAAAACATTGTTACTATGATTTTATATAGTCTCTTAATGAACTTAGAATTCCCTTCTCAGAGCATGAGAACTAAGAAGCTGGTAAGTATTTTAAAATACTCAAGAATCTGATCTAATTTCCAGAAAAAGCTAATCTCTCCAAATGATTCATGAGTGTAATGACATAGAAACTTGAAATTCTAATAGTCATAATTACATTTTATTAATTAAAGAACTGGTCTATTCACAAAAATTTCTTTAATATATTGATATTTGTTTTATATTATAAACGATCTGTTGTCATAGAGACATAGAAAAAAGACACAGAAGACAGTTATATTGCTTATGTACTTTAACCTTGTCTACACTGTAGGATCAAAAGAGATGATCAATGTATTGAGCTTAACGAGACAATAATGGTATCTATCTTTTAGCGTTTTTAATAAGATTATATGAGTTAATAAATGCAAAGCACTTAGTACAGTGCCTGGTACAAAGTAAGTGGGCTATAAATAAATGTCTCACCTAAATAATGGTACATATAGATAAAATGTCATGAAATCATTTTAGTTTCTCCTCCTTCTGTCATCAGTATTTTAACAACTATCCTAACATCGTCTTCACAGTATATTGTCTTTCGTAACCGTTTTTATTGTGAGATTGTACTTGGCTCTTTTTTGCCTACTTTTTAAGTGCCTTAAATCTATTTGCTATGCTTCTTTCAGTTTCTACTACTTTTCTTTAAAAAACGTGACAGGGAATTCCCTGGCGGTCCAGTGGTTAGGACTTGGCGCTTTCACTGCCGGGGCCAGGGTTGGATCCTTGGTCAGTGAAGTAAGATCCTGCAAGCCACGCAGTGCAGCCAAAAAAAAAACCAAACAAACAAAAAATTTTTTTTTTTTTTTTTTTTTTTGCGGTACGTGGGCCTCTCACTGTTGTGGCCTCTCCCATCGCGGAGCACAGGCTCCGGACGCGCAGGCCCAGCAGCCACGGCCCACGGGCCCAGCCGCTCCGCGGCACGCGGGATCCTCCCAGACCGGGGCACGAACCCGCATCCCCTGCATCGGCAGGCGGACTCTCAACCACTGCGCCACCAGGGAAGCCCCAAAAAAATTTTTTTAAAGTGACAAAGAAGGCAAAGCATATGCTGTATTTGCATGTCAAAGAAATTTATTTACCCTGACTTTGCAAATAACCACTTTTATGGCACAAACAGCCATTTTTATGGTGACAAATAAATGTCATATGCCGGATGAATTACAGAAAAGCATTGGAATTTCCTATATTTTATTACTTTGCATCTCTTTGTCTGAAGAAAGGTTGGTGTACTTTACCTCTGCCACCTCCAGTCATCAAAGATTAGTATTCATTTTGAAACGAAATTTCGGACTTCCCTGTGGTGCAGTGGTTAAGGATCTGCCTGCCAGTGCAGGGGACACAGGTTTGAGTCCTGGTCCAGGAAGATCCCACATGCCACAGAGCAACTAAGCCCATGCCCACAACTACTGAGCCTGCGCTCTAGAGCCCACGAGCCACAACTACTGAAACCTGCGTGCGCTCACACCACGAGGAAGAGTAGCCCCCGCTCGCCACAACTAGAGAAAGCCTGCACACAGCATGAAGACCCAACTACTGAGCCTGCGCTCTAGAGCCCACGAGCCACAACTACTGAAACCTGCGTGCGCTCACACCACGAGGAAGAGTAGCCCCCGCTCGCCACAACTAGAGAAAGCCTGCACACAGCAATGAAGACCCAATGCAGCCAAAAATAAATAAATTAATTAATTTTTTTAAAAAAAGAAATGAAATTTCACAAGGGAATACAATTATAAGGAGGGAGTTCCCTTATTATAATAAGGGAATACAATATATAATAAATGAATATTTTAGGTTATATATAAAATATATCACTATATGTAATTATATTTATAATACAAATTGTAAAATAAGGTAATAAAATATATAATTAAAATATATGGTGTTTGGCAGAAAATGGTGAGTATGCACATGGGGTTAGTCTATCTCTTTTAAGTCTGTGCCCTTTTCCAAAAAGCACTGATTACACTACCACCCCAAGAACTGAATATGGCAGTGGTTTCAAAAAGAAGAAATATGTGTGTTGAGGTGAATTTGAATATGACGAAGACATAGGATACTCATAGAGAGATGGAAGAAAACTAATCATGAAAAAGAACCACTTTCTTTAGTAACCCTAGATACTACATGGCAGGGTGTGAGAGAATCTTGGTTAATAAAATTTTTAGCCTATTAAATTATTTGAGAATATGTACGTAGAGCAATATAAACTAGTAATAGTAATTTCATCTTGCAAATATGGGAGGTCTAATTTTAAAACCTAATTAAATACATTTTCCACTCAAATCTAATAAAATTTAATCTATCTTTGAATATAAGAAGTAAGGCACGACATAGTCAAGAAGAGTCTTAATGTTTGTTTGAAAAATCCTCTTGTATAAGTCCATATTCAAGAACACTATAGAAAGGATTCCTGAATCAGACAGGTAGCTGAGTAACATTTAAGATAATTACCAGTTCTGAGATTCTAGGATATTATGATGAATTAAAAATAGGCATACTTCGTATACTGGATGTTGGAATCAAAGACCAATAAAATTTGGGGGAGAATCTTAATTTGGTATAATCTGGTTATCTTTGAGGATATTTTGATGGACAAGGTTAATGTCTAACAACTTGGAAAAAGAGAAGTTATTGGTGGGAGATTGAGATGTTGAAAAGAAAGGGGAGAAAGGAAGTTGATTTGGGAAGGAGCAAAAGGAGTTTTCTTTCCATAAATCAAAAGAAATAATTGGGAAGCAGATCTTCAATGGTAGCTTCTGAAAAGCTAGCACTATAATTGAACTGAATATCTTAGTTCTCTATTAATATACTGAGACCATGGCCACTTAGGCAAATTCATCTTTTTCTTTGTTTGTTGAAACTCAATGGGAAAAAAATTCTATCTTTTGTTGTTTTGATAATGGTTTAAAATGAGCAAAGAATAAAGCAAAAATAAGAACAAAAAAACACCCAACCAAACAAAGAAAAACTATTCTAAATATAGTTTATTATCTACTGTAAGCTAATAAAAATCTGAGAAGGTTGTAGCAGCAAGAAAAAGAAATTTGGGGTTAAAAAATTTAGAATTTTTCTTCCCTATGCTCTCAATGTCTCGCTTCTCACCATATCTCCTAGAACTTTTTATTGAGATTAACATGATCTGTAGAGGAATTGTTAGCACTCTTTTGAAGGGAAATAATTTTGTAATTAATTTATTACAGATTCATTAAAATTTTTCATAGTATCATTTATCATTCCATAAAACCTTCATCATTTACACAACTCAGTGTAATAAATAATTCTGTAACAAAGCAAATTATTCTGAACAAAGCTATTTAAAATCAACTATTAAGGTACAAAATAGATTTATTTTTAATAAATGATTTTTTCAGAATAATTTCTTTTTCAAGAAATTTGGTATCTTAATAATATGTGTTATTTCTTCTTGACAGAGAATATAGAAAAGTGGGATGATGAGAGAACAGGGAGTTAGCCAGCCCAGTTCCTAGTATGAGACAAGGTACAGCAGAATCCCCTTAGACTGAGTGAGGAACAAACTACTTCCAGCTCTTTCACTGGTGTTAAAAATCAAATTAAAACAATAAACAATCTAAATTTTTACTTTCTAACTTTTTCCATTTTCCTGTTGCTTATGTTTCCTTTTCCTGAGATCTCAAACATTGTGTTATTTAAATCACCTTTCTGTCATTTCTCACTCTGTTATGTATTGTACATTAGCCTGCCCCTCAAGCTAATCTTAATGGCCAAATTGAGCTCCCTCTTTTTGAATGAGGGCCTTTCCTACCTAGATCTGTCAAAATATAGAGTAAACAATTATGATTTCCAGAATTATTTGCCCTTCTAAACTAGCCATGTGAAAGCCTACACCTTTTACTGCGCTTTATTATTGTGTCAGTTATATTTTTTCCATCTATTTATATTATAAAATATAGTCATGATGATTATTTGATTGCTGATGATAGATTTTCCTTTCACTGTGGCAGAGAGAGAATGGAGAAATGTTTCTGTAGCTCCATTTAAATTGCTTAATTAATAACTGCTGGTTGTAAGCTCACAGCCAGATTATGAGTTTGGTCCATTATTCAAATTCCAGAATTACAAAGGTAGGCTTTACTTTAATTTTTTCTTAATATGTTGTTCCCTAGATATTGATATCAAAATGCAAAAATTAATATAAAGTTTAATCTCTATTTAAAAGGACATAATTGGCTAATTTGGAGCAACATAAAAATACTTCATAATTTTAAATTTTGAAATTTACCATAAATCACAACTAATACTTTTCAGTTGTATGTTTAAAGCAAAAAGCAGAAATCTGATGTAATGTAATGATATAAAATTCTTATTCAATAGATTGAGGACATAAACAATACGGGAACTGAATCAGCATCGGAGGTAAATGGACATTTCCTTTAATGAAACATTCACCTAAAATTATCTGATTCACAAATAATCTTTCAATTAAAATAATTGTTTTTTTAATTATAAATATAGCAACAACAACAAGGACAAAAATATTTTGCAAAGCAAGATCATACTTTTGCACTTTCAAACGCTATAGCTTAGTGTTTTTAAAGGAAAGTATGTTTTTGCTTTCATGGTTAGAGATACAAGTCTCGATTTGAGATACTCTGCCAAGGCTGTATATTTCTTGAACTGTTACTAATAGTTGAGATTGTTGAAAGCTAACATTTGAAAAAGGCAGTTTTCTTTTCATCACCTGTCTTCTTTCCTCAGAGTTCCTGATAGTTTGTTTTGCTTATCACATACTAGCAGAGAGTACAGTATCTATTACCATGACGGAATGTTCAAACCACAAAAATTTTAGTTATCTCTTTTTATCTAACAGAGAAAGTTAAAGATCAATCAATTTGATGGTGTGCCTAAAACTACAGCCACATAAATTGGAAGCAGTTTTATTTTAGGGGGCATGTGTTACATATTACAATTCTTTGTTTTTGAAAAAAAGTTCAAAGGCAATAACAGATGATGTAATAGAACTAATTAAAATGGATTTTAAAAACAAGTTTAAGAATATTTGAATAGGACCAAAGGCCAAAGAGTTTTGTCCATAATATAAATGTTTTCTAAATCACTTGGAAATACTGTTTTTTTTTTCCCTTGCTAAAATGTTAGTTTTATTAAGTATTTAAAAACTTGCATGGAGAGAAAAATCAAACACAGAAACCTTTCTTGTGTGTTTAAACTGAAGCCATCCACCATCAAATTGATTTAGAGTATGCTCACATGCACATTACCTTTTGTGGGATGAGTGCACGGATAGTGAAATTCAGATAATTTCACGCAGTTTTATCCAAACAGCTGTATTAACACCATCTTCTAGGAAAAAAGATTCTTCTTGAACCCTGTCAGCAGTGGATTTCAATAAGATTGACTCATCATGTACAATGAATTCAGAGAAAGAGCTATTTAATAGAAATCTGTAAAAAGTATTAATTTTTGTTCTTCATAACATTGATGGCAATGTAATGAAATTCACCAATGATGGAAGTCCCATGAAACGTAAATTTTGATTAGGAAGAAATATGCTAATTATCTATTTTATAAATTAGGAAGGAGATGATTCACTGCTTGTAACAGTGGTACCTGTCAAATCACACAAAACATCTGGAAAAATAAAAAAGAATTTCGAAGATCTAGAAAAAGAACAAGAAGAAAAGGAAAGGGTCAAGTATGAAGAAGATAAAAGAATAAGATATGAAGAACAACGTCGGTCTCTCAAGGAAGCAAAGTGTCTTTCATTGGTCATGGTAATTTTTTTTTAAATAAAGAACAAATAAAAGCAGTTAAGTTGGTTAGCAGCATATCCCTTTATGATTAACAGGTTTTCATTATGTTTTCTTAGGACGATGAACTGGAAAGTGAGGCAAAGAAAGAGTCACTTTCTCCTGGAAAATTGAAACTGACTTTTGAAGAATTGGAAAGACAAAGACAAGAAAACCGAAGGAAGCAAGCTGAGGAGGAAGCAAGAAAACGTTTAGAAGAAGAGAGGCGTGCTTTTGAAGAAGCAAGGCGGCAAATGGTAAAACAAACTGATATATATGTAACATTTATATATGATATTACAATACATAATTATATTATGATACATAACATTTATATATTATACAAATTATATATTATATGTATAATATGTTATACAAATGTTATATATAAAACATTTAATATTAAGGGAGGTAGCTGACTTTAGATAAGGTTCATTGCTATAAATTTAAGGAGATTTTCTATATACAAGGGTCTGATTTTGAAACTGTATACATATTCCATATATAACATGCATTTATATTATTTTCTAGTTTTCATTTTGGGATATTTTACCTAATATGCCTTAAATCTTTATTTTTATAAATTGTTGTAAACATATAAAATAATTATTCAACAAATCTGATTTCTCTTCATCTGTTAGCTCAGCCTGCAATGTGTTTAATAGCATGGTGCAGCACACTTTCAAGTCTAATCATAAGTGTACACTTAGTGTCAGTATATATATATATATATATATATATATATATATATATATATATATACTGAATATATATAGAGAGATATATATGTGTAATGTATATAATCTAAGTGCTTAAGAGCATGGATTTTGGAGCCAGACTGCCTGGATTCAGATATCTAACCTTTATTGTGTACCCATGGACAAGTTATTGAACCTCTCAACATCTTAGTTTCCTCATTAGTAAAATGGTGAAAATAATTGTGCCTACTTCTTAAATCATTAAATGAGTTAATATAGAAAGCAGTTAGAGTAGTGTTTGGCATATAATAAGTGCTTTATTTATTATGTATTTTTATCTTTTTATTATTTTTTTTTGACCTCACAGCACAGCTTTCGGGATCTTAGTTCCCTGACCAGGGATTGAACCCATGCCCCCGGCAATGAAAGCATGGAGTCCCAACCACTAAACCACCAGGGAATTCCCAATAAGTGCTTTAAAAATGTTAACTGCTATCGCTTCTCGGCCTTTTGGCTAAGATCAAGTGTAGTATCTGTTCTTATCAGTTTAATATCTGATACGTCCTCTATCTGAGGACAATATATTAAATGGATTTTTGGAGCAGGGAGTTGGAATAGGAGCTTGCTCCGTCCACTCCACGCATCGACCTGGTATTGCAGTACTTCCAGGAACGGTGCACTCCCTCCGGGGAGAAACAAAGCCGTGGTAAGAGAAGTATGGAGCTTGACACGTAAGCGCGCATGCTCGCGCTATCCTCATGGGTATCAGTAGAGACCGGGGTTGGGCGTTGCGTTCACGGTTTCGCTTGCTTTTTTTTTTTTTTTTTTTAAAAAAAAAAGAAAAAAAGAAAAAATGTTAACTGCTATTATTATAGTAACAGATTTAACAACAAAAAATAAAACTGAAATAAGAAAACTGATTCCAAATCTCATTGCAAGAATTTAAGAATGGAACATGTGTAATTTTTTAAACTTTCAGACTTTCTTGATCAGTTTTCATTAATGATGTTCTGAGGTCTATATCTCCAAAATTTTAATTTTCTAGATGTTTGTTTGAAAATGTTGTTATTGGGTTGGCCAAATTTCGTTTGGGTTTTTCTGTAAAATGTTATGGAAAAACCCAAACAAACTTTTTGGCCAACCCAATATTTTGGGTAGTTACAGTTGGATAATACCTACACATTTTAGATATCACTGGTGGTCAATTTAGTGAAAAGACATAGAAATATCATTAATTAATCAAATCATAAATTTCAATGAGTATTTAATTAATTTAATTAGCATTACATTAGAATTTTAATTATAAAATCATAAAATTTGAATTGTATGTAAAATAGTTCCAGATAATATTTTATCCATTTAATAACCGTAGTTCATAGTAAAAAAAATCCATGAAAATTACAGAATGAGAACTTTATTTTATTATGTTAGAGACTCAGTGTGTGTATACTTGAACCTCAATTTAAGTACACACACACACACACTTTTTTTTTTGGAAGATAAATTGTAGAATTTTTAATCAATGAAATACTATACAGCAATAGAAAATAATTAACTACAGGTAGCCCCATCAACACAGATAAATCTCAAAAACAACTACAAGATTCAGCAAAACTGTAAGTCAATAGGACCACATACAGTATAATTTCTTATATGTAAAATTCAAAAGCTGCAACACTGAACAAATTTTTACATATTCAAACAAAGCAAAAGGATAACAAACACAAAATTAAGCATATTAGTTTCCTCTGAAAAGCCAGCAAAAGGTGGATGGGCTCTTGAAGGATACACGAGGACCTTCAAGAGTACTGGAAACATTCCATATCTTAAACTGAGTAGGACCCACATCTGTGTGTTGGTGTTACTTTTATTTATTTATTTATTTATTTATTTTAACATTTTTATTGGAGTATAATTGCTTTACAATGGTGTGTTAGTTTCTGCTTTATAACAAAGTGAATCAGTTATACATATACATATGTTCCCATATCTCTTCCCTCTTGCGTCTCCCTCCCTCCCACCCTCCCTATCCCACCCCTCCAGGTGGTCACAAAGCACCGAGCTGATCTCCCTGTGCTATACGGCTGCTTCCCACTAGCTATCTATTTTACGTTTGGTAGTGTATATATGTCCATGCCACTCTCACACTTCGTCCGAGCTTACCCTTCCCCCTCCCTGTGTCCTCAAGTCCTTTCTCTAGTAGGTCCACACACATGTTTTATGTTTGTTCTGGGAGAGTTAATGTTTAATAAAACTTTTAAATGATTCCTTAAGAATTTTAAACAATTAATTTTATCCATTTAAAAATTTGACTTGCTTGAGAAGTTTTATTTAACTTGAGTACATCTTTATTTGGAATTTTTCCAAATCTGATTTTTTAAATCATATGAGACTTTATAAAGGAAGGGGATTTTGGTCAAGAATACTAGAACAAAGAAACATTTCTGTGTAAGGTGGCTGAGTCTGTGCCTTTTGATTTATAATTCATTCCTGTCTTTGATGAATCCCAGTTCTTAGTAGTGAGTTGTTTCTTGGTTAGGTAAACGAAGAGGAGGAAAACCAAGACACAGAAAACATTTTTAAAGGGTACCGCCCTGGTAAACTCAAACTCAGTTTTGAAGAAATAGAAAGACAAAGGAGAGAAGATGTAAAAAGGAAAGCAGAAGAAGAAGCCAGAAGAAGAATAGAGGAAGAAAAGAAGGCATTTGCTGAAGCAAGGAGAAGCATGGTAAGACAGAATGTGACTGGAGGAGGCCATTGGGATTCAGTATGTTATGAGAAATCATTCAACTTTGGGGAATACCCTATTATTTCTGACCTTATATGCCAAAAGTAGGGATGGCATATAAGTTATTAAAGTCTCCTATGGCATAACACTGTCAGTTAAGTGTGTTTGCTTCATTATAGTGTTGAGAAGGTTCTGATTAAATTGCTATGCCTAGCATAGAGGAGTGTATGTTATCTTCCTTCTCTGGGAAGGCATGTTTTCCAGAACTAAGTATCTAAGCGAGGAGGGAGGGGGGTTCCTACCCCCACCTTTCCTTCCCTCCTCTCCATTCTCTTCTCCTTTCCACATTTCCTCCTTCCCTCCCTCACTCCTTCCTTCCTTTCCTCCTTTCTTTCCAGTATCCATCCCATCTGGGATATGTTAAATGATCAAAGCCATTTAATCACAATTAGTTAACTCTCCAAAATGCTTACCATCACTCTGGATATTGCTACTAAACTTAACTCTGTTACAAAGTTATACTTCTTATACCATTTTTTAAATTTTTATTTATTTATTTTGGCTGCGTTGGGTCTTTGTTGCTGTGCACGAGCTTTCTCTAGTTGCAGAGATCAGGGGCTACTCTACACGGGGTTTTCACTGCAGTGGCTTCTCCTGTTGTGGAGCACGGGCTCTAGGCGCATGGGCTTCAGTAGTTGTCGCTCGCGGGCTCTAGAGCACAGGCTCAGTAGTTGTGGCGCATGGGCTTAGTTGCTCCGGGGCATGTGGGATCTTCCCGGACCAGGGATCAAACCCGTGTCCCCTGCATTGGCGGGCAGATTCTTAACCACAGAATCCAGGGAAGCCCCTACACCATTTTAATGTTTGTTAAATGTACAGTTACCTGACAAACTTTATTTTTAAGTAAGTTGACACGTGAATGCTGCATCCCCTTCCTGAAACATTTTAATTGGCTTCAATGATATCATGACCTGGTTTTCTTCCTGTGTCTGGGTGAGCTTCAGACAGATATATCCAAGTGTTTATTTGGCTTCATCACCCACCCAGATGCTCAAATCAGAAACCTGAGAGCCTTAAGCACTTCCACCTCTCATTCATGCCTCACATCCAGTCATTCACTGTCTCATTTCCTATATCACTCTAAAAATTGATCAGTTTTCCCCCATTTCCCATTACCACTACTATAATGCAGGTCACTGTTACCCCTTGCCTCAGGCCAACTCCTAATTAATTTGCTTTCTTGCCTATAATCCATTCTTTCCTATAAAGCCAGAAGTGGTCTTTCTTAAAAAAAAAAAAAAAAAAAGTAAATTTGATTATGTTACTATTTTGCTTAAAAATTTTCCACGTCCCTTAAAACAAAAATCCAAACACTAAAATTTTAAAATAAATTTCTTTATAATCTTGCCCTAGTATTTTCTCCAGTTTCATTTCTTTTTTTTTTTTTTTGGTACGTGGGCCTCTCACTGTTGTGGCCTCTCCCGTTGCGGAGCACAGGCTCCGGACGCGCAGGCTCAGCGGCCAGGGCTCACGGGCCCAGCCGTTCCGCAGCATGTGGGATCTTCCCGGACCGGGGCACGAACCCGTGTCCCCTGCATCGGCAGGCGGACTGTCAACCACTGCGCCACCAGGGAAGCCCTCCAGTTTCATTTCTTGATTCTTCCTTTTTTCGTTGTTTTTAATAAATGTATTTATTTATTTATTTATTTATTTTTGGCTCCATTGGGTCTTCGTTGCTGCACGCGGGCTTTTTCTAGTTGCAGCGAGTGGGGGCTACTCTTTGTTGCGGTGAGCGGGCTTCTCATTGCGGTGGCTTCTCGTTGTGGAGCAAGGGCTCTAGGCACATGGCCTTCAGTAGTTGTGGCTCGCAGGCTCTAGAGCGCAGGCTCAGTAGTTGTGGCGTACAGGCTTACTTGCTCCATGGCATGTGGGATCTTCCCGGACCAGGGCTCGAACTTGTGTCCCCTGCATTGGCAGGGGGATTCTTAACCACTGCGCCACCAGGGAAGTCCCTCTTGAGTCTTCCTCAATCTGCCATGTTTGTTCCAGACATACTAAATGTCTTTCCATTTCTTCAAAACGCTATGCTCTCATCTCTGGAACTTCATAAATGCTATATGAAATGTGTGTCTCTCTCTTTTCCCTGTGCTGAGCTATCTCCTATTCATATATTCCATTTCCTCTGGAAGCCTTTCCTGCTAATACAAGTTCCAGAAAGGTGTTCCTTCCATGTATTCTTAGAGCATTTAGTGCTCCCCTAGCATAGCACTAGTGCTGTATTGTTGTGGCTTATGGCCATCTTCCTCACTCAGTGAGGCTGAGACCACATCAAGCACATGGCACGGGACTTCAGGGAAGCCCGCGCACTCTAGGGCCCACGTGCGGCAACTACTGAGCCCATGTGCTGCAACTAAGGAAGCCCACGTGCCTAGAGCCCATGCTCCGCAACAAGAGGAGCCATTGCAATGAGTAGCCCGCTCACCACAACGAAGAGTAGCCCCTGCTCACCACAACTAGAGAATGCCCACGCACAGCAACGAAGACCCAATGCAGCCAAAAAAAAAGAAAAAGATGGTGCTTGGACTTAGGGAAAAAAAGGCACATGGCACAATGCATTCTAGTGTAACAAACTTCCTGTAAATGCTTGTGGAATAAGTGATTTATTTTATTATTATTTTTTATTGAAGTAGAGTTGATATAGAATGCTGTGCCAATCTCTGCTCTACAGCACAGTGACTCAGTTATACACATTTATACATTCTTCTTTTTAATATTCCTTTCCATTATGGCTTATCACAGGATATTGAATATAGTTCCCTGTGCTATACAGTAGGACCTTGTTGTTTATCCATCCTATATATAATAGTTCACATCTGCTAATCCCACACTCCCAGTCCTTCCCTCCCCCACCCACCTCCCCCTTGGCAACCACAAGTCTGTTCTCTATGTCTGTGAGTCTGTTTCTGTTTTGTAGATCGGCTCATTTGAGCCATATTTTAGATTCCACATATAAGAGATATCATATGATATTTGTCTTTCTCTTTCTGACTTCACTTAGTATGATAATCTGTAGTTACATCCATGTTGCTGCAAATGGCATTATTTTGTTCTTTTCTATGGCTAAGTTGGAGTAAGTGATATTAATACTATCTTATTAGGTAATCCTTGATTCACAAATGGTTTCTACACAGAAACCCTACAAACATTCTGAAAGCACTTAATTTCTGGAGAATCAGCTGGTTCAGAAGTGGTAGATAAGAAGTAGCTGTGAAGATCAGGAAATCTAGTCCTGGGAGCAGATTTTTTTAGTCCAAATCTGCCGTTTTATCATGACTCACTAGTGGAAAAAGTGCAGGGAAGGAAAATGGCATTAAACCAAAACTCTGGTTTCCTAAAGACATTTCTATATCAGGAAAGGAAAGAAAAACTTTTTCCTTCATTTATGTTGTTTTCTTATCTAGGGCCAAGTATTGTCATTTCATATTATTGCTCAGTTAACTCATATATTAATAAAATTTTTTTTGGCAATCTGTGGATTTTAAGAGCATATAAACATTATTTCTGAGTTGAACTGGTTCTGTGGTAAAGCCTGTCATATATAAAACTTGGAACAAATAATAATTACCCTTTACCTCTCTTATTCCTGTGTCGAGTTCAGCCACAGGGACACAATTCAAGTGAGAGGTTTATGTATATACTTTCAGGGGTTAGAATAGGTCACTGCTTTTCATGGCAAAATGTATTCAAAGTCAGTGATTTAAAAGTAGAGTTTCTATTTGCAATTTAGAGATTGCCTATATACAGGGAATGATATTGTAATAATAAAACTGCTATTTGGGAGCTTACCATAGTGTCAGACACACTGCAAAGTGTTTCCAAACTTTATGTAATTCTCATGACAACTCTATGAAAGTTGTCACAGATAAGGAAACTCAGATTTAGAGACGCTATGTAACTTGCCCAAGGTCATAACTAAATGGCAGCTAGACATGTAATTCATGAAATTACAAAAAGGTAGTCTAAATAGTAATTTAGATTATAATAGTAATTATAGTAATTATAATAGTAATTTTGTTAGAAAGACTTTTAAAGTTTGGAATTTCACCTTTTCCACATAGTATTTGTGTTGACTTTGGACAAGTTACTTTTTAGTGCCTCAGTTTCCTCATCTATAAAATGGGGATATTAATAACACCTACTTCACAGGGTTACAGAAAAATAAGTCAATACAGGTAAAGTGCTTAGAATTGTACCTGGCAGCTATAAGTATTAACTATTATTATTTATTTTTAATTAGCCTGACAGTAAATAAATCAGCACAATAAAATCACAGCATTAACTGATTTTTGCCTGATTATGAAGGGGTCATTATATCTAATTCATTCAAGTAAAAACCATGATTTAACTGAAATGCTCTATTTTAATTACCAGAATGGTGGTTTATTTTAATCCAGTTAAAACGTTTTCCCAATATTAGAACATCTTTTTAATTTTTTTAATTAAAAAAAGTTTTGTTGTTAGAACATCTTAATGTCTAATTCAAATTACTCATAGTATAAAGTCAAAGTATTTATTTGTGTTCACTGGAATGGAGACTTTATGGTCACCATTTTCTCTGTTATTACAAAATACTTTAGTCTTACAGTTTCTAATAATTCCTTCTTGTTTATTGTTTTATACTTTTAAAGAGAATTTTTGGGTTTTAGTTCAATGTGAAACCTTTCTATTCAAGAAATATTCCCTTTGTAGTATGTATAATTCTGGCAAGAGTGATAAAAGAATGATTTTAAATAGGTAGTAGATGATGACTCCCCAGAGATGTATAAAACAATCTCTCAAGAATCTCTTACACCTGGAAAACTAGAAATTAATTTTGAAGAATTATTAAAGCAAAAAATGGAAGAAGAAAGACGACGAACAGAGGAGGAACGGAAGCATAAGCTAGAGATGGAAAAACAGGAATTTGAACAACTGAGACAAGAAATGGGAGAGGTAAGACTTTAAGAAATGTCCATTTTTATTCCACAAATATTTATTAATCTCATTATTTCACATGCATTACCTTACAATAACTTTCTAAGTATTATTATTTTTACATAAAGGACACTCCTATGAGGCACTTAGTACAAGTTTCAGCATAGTTGAGTGTACCTTTCCAGCCTGCTATAACTCTACTCCTTCTTGCTAGTTTGAAAAATATATAAGATTCCAAGTGACTGAGATATTACTGTAGTATGTAAGTAAATATTTCTTCCTATATACCTCACAATTGTGTGAGATTACACCATGATTGAGAACTGTCACTCTAGAGTACTTAATATACCCATTTATACTTATTTTCCTTTAAACAGAATTAAACTGGTAATCAAAATAAGAAAAAAGTATGAGAGTACCATGGATGCTAATAGGAACATCAGTTTGGCAAGTCTTTGAATAATTTTACAGGCATACTGCATTTCATTGTGCTTCACTTTATTGCACTTTGCAGGTACTGCACTTTTTACAAATTGAAGGTCTGTGGCAACCCTGCATGGAGCAAGTCTGTTGCCACCATTTTTGCAACAGCATTTGCTCACTTTGTGTCTCTGTGTCACATTTTGGTAATTCTCTCAATATTTCAAACTTTTTCATTACTATTATATTTGTTATGGTGATTTGTGATCAGTGATCTTCATTGTTACTATTGTAGTTGTTTGGGGGCACCACAAACTCCTCCCATATAAGATGGTAAACTTAATCGATAAGTGTGTATGTTCTGACTGCTTCACTGACCGGCTGTTTGCCCATCTCTTTACCTCTCTTAGGGTCTACCTGTTCCCTTACACAACAGTGTTGAAATTAGGCCAATTAATGGTCTCTGAGTGTTTAAGTGAAAGTAAGAGTCGCACATCTCTCACTTTACACTTGGCCAAGAAGCAACTTGTCTCACTTTAAATTAAGCTAGCAAGATTAAGCTTAGTGAGGAAGGAACGTCGAAAGCTGAGATAGATAGGCCAAAATCTAGGCCTCTTGTGCCAAACCATTAGCCAAGATGTGAATGCAAAGGAAAAGTTCTTGAAGGAAATTAAAAGTGCTACTCCAGTAAACACACAAATAATAAGAAAGTAGAACAGCCTTACTATCGATGTGGAAAAAGTTTTAGTCGTCTGGATAGAAGTCACATAAGCCACAACATTCCCTTAAGCCAAAGCCTACTCCAGAGCAAGGCCCTAACTCTCTTCAATTCTATGAAGACTGAGAGATGAGGAAGCTGCAGAAGAAAAGTCTGAAGCTACCAGAGGTTGCTTCTTGAAGTTTAAGGAAAGAAGCCATCTCCATAACAAAAAAGTGCAAGATGATACAGCAAGTGCTGTTGTAGAGGCTGCAGAAGTTATGCAGAAGATCTAAGATAATCAAAATGAAGGTGGCTACACTAAACAATAGATTTTCAATGTAGACAAACAGGCTTGTATTGGAAGAAGATGCCATCTAGGACTTTTTTAGCTAGAGAGGAGAAATCAATGCCTGGCTTCAAAGCTTCAAAAGACAGGCTGACTCTCTTGTTATAGGCTAAAACATAGCTAGTGACTTTAAGTTGAAGCCAATGCTTATTTACCATTCTGAAATGGTAAATTTCAGAATGCTTATTTACCATCCTAGGGTCCTTGAGAATTCTGCTAAATCTACTTTGCCAGTGCTCTATAAATGGAACAGAGAACCTAGATATAGCAATCTATTCACAACCTGGTTTACTGAATATTTAAAGCCCACTGTTAAGACCTACTGCTCAGAAAAAAAGATTCCTTTAAAATATTACTGCTCATTAATAGTGCACCTGAAAGAAACTTCTCTAAGCAGGAAACACAAGAGAAGGAAAAGATATACAATAACAAACCCAAAACAATTAAGAAAATGGTAATAGGAACATACATATCGATAATTACCTTAAATGTAAATGGATTAAATGCTCCAACCAAAAGACTCAGACTGGCTAAATGGATACAAAAACAAGACCCGTATATATGCTGTCAACAAGAGACCCACTTCAGACCTAAGGACACATACAGACTGAAAGTTAGGGGATGGAAAAAGATATTCCATGCAAATGGAAATCAAAAGGAAGCTGGAGTAGCAATTCTCATCTCAGACAAAATAAACTTTAAAATAAAGACTATTGCAAGAGACAGTGAAGGACACTACATAATGATGAAGGGATCAATCCAAGAAGAAGATGTAACAACTGTAAATATTTATGCACCCAACATAGGAGCACCTCACTACATAAGGCAAAGGCTAACAGCCATAAAAGGGGAAATCGACAGTAACACAATCATAGTAGGGGACTTTAACACCCCAGTTTCACCAATGGACAGAGCATCCAAAATGAAAATAAATAAGGAAACACAAGCTTTAAATGATACATTAAACAAGATGGACTTAATTCATATTTTTTGGACATTCCATCCAAAAACAACAGAATACACTTTCTTCTCAAGTGCTCATGGAACATCCTCCAGGATAGGTCATATCTTGGGTCACAAATCAAGGCTTAAGAAAATTTAAGAAAATTGAAATCGTATAAAGTATCTTTTCGGACCACATGCTATGAGACAAGATATCAATTAGAGGAAAAAATCTGTAAAAAATACAAACACATGGAGGCTAAACAATACACTACTTAATAACCAAGAGATCACTGAAAAAATCAAAGAGGATATCAAAGAATACCTAGAAACAAATGACAATGAAAGCCGACGACCCAAAACCTATGGGATGCAGCAAAAGCAGTTCTAAGAGGGAAGTTTATAGCAATACAATCCTACCTTAAGAAACAAGAAACATCTCAAATAAACAACCTAACCTTACACCTAATGCAATTAGAGAAAGAAGAAAAAACCCAAAGTTAGCAGAAGGAAAGAAATCATGAAGATCAGATCAGAAATAAATGAAGGAAACAATAGCAAAGATCAATAAAACTAAAAGCTGGTTCTTTGAGAAGATAAACCATTAGCCAGATTCATCAAGAAAAAAAGGGAGAAGACTCAAATCAATAGAATTAGAAATTAAAAATGAGGGCTTCCCTGGTGGCGCAGTGGTTGGGAGTCCACCTGCTGATGCAGGGGACGCGGATTCGTGCCCCGGTCCAGGGGGATCCCACGTGCTGTGGAGCAGCTGGGCCCATGAGCCATGGCCACTGAGCCTGCGCTCCGCAGCGGGAAGGGCCACAGTGGTGAAAGGCCCATGTACAGAAAAAAGAAAAAGAAAGAAAGAGATGTAACAAATGACACTGCAGAAATACAAAGGATCATAAGAGATTACTACAAGCAACTATATGCTAATAAAATGGACAACTTGGAAGAAATGGACAAATTCTTAGAAAAGCACAACCTTCCGAGACTGAACCAGGAAGAAATAGAAAATATAAACAGACCAATCACAAGCACTGAAATTGAGACTGTGATTAAAAGTCTTTAAACAAACAAAAGCCCAGGACCAAATGGCTTCACAGGCTAATTCTATCAAACATTTAGAGAAGAGCCAACACCTATCCTTCTCAAACTCTTCCAAAATATAGCAGAGGGAGGAACACTCCCAAACTCATTCTACGAGGCCACTATCCCCCTGATACCAAACCAGACAAAGATGTCACAAAGAAAGAAAACTACAGGCCAATATCACTGATGAACATAGATGCAAAACTCCTCAACAAAATACTAGCAAACAGAATCCAACAGCACATTAAAACGATCATACACCATGCTCAAGTGAGGTTTATCCCAGGAATGCAAGGATTCTTCAATATACGCAAATCAATGTGATACACCATACTAACAAACTGAAGAATAAAAACCGTATGATCATCTCAATAGATGTAGAAAAAGCTTTCGACAAAATTAAGCACCTGTTTATGATAAAAACCCTCCAGAAAGTAGGCATAGAGGGAACCTATCTCAACATAATAAAGGCAACATATGACAAACCCACAGCCAACATGGTTCTCAATGGTGAAAAACTGAAACCATTTCCACTAAGATCAGGAACAAGACAAGGTTGCCCACTCTCACCACTATTATTCAACATAGTTTTGGAAGTTTTATCCACAGCAATCAGAGAAGAAAAAGAAATAAAAGGAATCCAAATCGGAAAAGAAGTAAAGCTGTCACTGTTTGCAGATGACATGATGCTAAACATAGAGAATCCTAAATATGCTACCAGAAAACTACTAGAGCTAATCAATGAATTTGGTAAATTAGCAGGATACAAAATTAATGCACAGAAATCTCTGGCATTCCTATACACTAATGATGAAAAATCTGAAAGAGAAATTAAGGAAACACTCCCATTTACCAGTGCAACAAAAAGAATAAAATACCTAGGAATAAACCCACCCAAGGAGACAAAAGACCTGTATGCAGAAAACTGTAAGACACTGATGAAAGAAATTAAAGATGATACAAACAGATGGAGAGATATACCATGTTCTTGGATTGGAAGAATCAACATTGTGACAATGACTCTACTACCCAAAGCAATCTACAGATTCAATGCAGTCCCTATCAAACTACCACTGGCTTTTTCACAGAACAAGAACAAAAAATTTCACAATTTGTATGGTAACACAAGAGACCCCGAATAGACAAAGCAATCTTGAGAAAGAAAAATGGAGCTGGAGGAATCAGCCTCCCTGACATCAGACTATACTACAAAGCTACTGTAATCAAGACAGTATGGTACTGGCACAAAAACAGAAATATAGATCAATGGAACAGGATAGAAAGCCCAGAGATAAACCCACTCACATATGGTCACCTTATTTGTGATAAAGGAGTCAAGAATATACAATGGAGAAAAGACAGCCTCTTCAATAAGTGGTGCTAGGAAAACTGGACAGCTACATGTAAAAGAATGAAATTAGAACAGTCCCTAACACCATACACAAAAATAAACTCAAAATGGATTAAAGACCTAAATGTAAGGCCAGATACTATAAAACTCTTAGAGGAGAACATAGG